TCTCGTAAAAAGACACAAACTTTAAGTCTATATTTCAATCTGGCCCGAAATTTAATTTTTTTGGTCCCATGATGAAGCACGAATTTTATGTCGGGTCTTAATTCCTCGACCCTGTCAAGTTTCCATCTGATAATGCCATTAAAGATTGGAGGTGTCATTTCACTTGTACATCTGTCTCTCTCGGTCCCTCCCTCCACATGCCGTTCCACATTGGTTTTATCCTTTTCTCTACCTTTTCTTTCGCCTTTTGCCCTTTGGTCTTCTTCATCTCAAAAGAACTCCTCCTTCGCGAAGAAAAGCACCCATCACAAACAAAAACTCAAGCTCTCCGCACATGCAGAACTTAGATCACAAGCTTCTCCTCGAAAGATTTTTTCGAAAATTAAGAATAGAAAAAAATAATGGAGACCATGTGAATGACACACGGAGATAAATAGAAAGAGAGACGTCCATGTGAAATGACACATCGAATCTTTAACGGCATCATTGGACATAAATTTGATGGTGACCGGATTTAAGTACCAACTAGTTCGTGCTAGATTTGGGTATCAATTGAAAGTTAGTGTTCTATCGCAAGACGAAAAAAAAAGTTCGGGCCAAAATTAAGATCCGACCTAAAGCTGATTTTTTTCATGAGCCAAAATAAGTTTAGATAGAAATCGAGGCTCCATTTAAAGTTGGTGCTTCTTAAGAGAATTGGGCCGTTCCCAAACTCAATTAAGTTACAAAATTTTTTCTTAACTTCGAAGTGATATTCTATTTAAGAAATAATCAATGGTTTTGGAGAATCAAACTTCAATTCCAACTCTAGATGGGGGCGGTCCAAACCCTACCCTTATGTCACCAACAAAACCTTTACAAGAACAAATCTACCTTTGACTATTTCCGATATTTCCTAGAGAACTGCTAGGTCCAATAATTTCGCCTGCAAAGAGAAATTACATTATTTTTTCATAAATTTCATTATTTTTTGAAGAATTTAACTGCCAGTAATAGACTCGTAGCTCTGGTTTTTGGTCTTAGGGCCATTGTTAAAAAATGTTTCTATCTCTTTGACAGAAGTACCCAGTCTTCGGCATAATAGAACTTGATAGTAATCTTAGAATCGACTCGTTTTTTTTATAGGTAAATTTCAGTCTAATCTCAGCTAACGCTTGTGGAATCCTTAAAATGGAGGAGCATATGGACAAAAATCAAAATCAATCTCAATCTCGTCTCGATCAAATTCCTCAAGTCACTCAAATTCAAGCAATTGAGGAGAATGGAGCTAAGTTTTGATTATTTTACGAAAAATGAATGATTTGGAAAGGATTTTTATAAAAAATAATCATTTATATTGCTTATAAAAATGAATCAACAAAATATTTTTCATCGTTCACGAAAATATCCAGATATAAATTGTTGTCGATAATGAAAACATTTTCCGTTGGCTAATTATTTCAGGCGATACAAGTAATTAATTTTAAGAAAATATTTTTCAAATCATTTATTTTTCGTGAAATAAATGAAGCTTTTCTTGAAATTCTTGAGTTGGAGTGGTTTGTGAGTAGCTTCGAAGAGCTACACAACCCGTTTCTATTCTCGAACGGCACAATTTCTTTAGAAAGTATCAATTTTCAGTCTGCTTCCAATTTTAACTTGAACTTTTTTTGTCTCATAATATGTACCAATTTTAGGACGAGTCCTAATTCTAATCTGAACTTTTTTAATCTCATATAAAAGTACCAATTTTCAATGGGTACCCAAAACTGGCTCTCGTCGAGTTTCCACCTATGATGTATCAATCCACGTGTCTCCCTCCACGTGTCATTCGATGTCGTCTTTATTTCTTTTCTTTGCCATTTCTTTCATTGTTTTTCCTTTAATCCTCTTCATCCCCCATTCGACCCCAAAGAACTCCTCCTTCGCGAAGAAAAGAACCCATATCGGATCAAAACACTACACAATCTGAAACACAATTAGTAAAAACTCAAGCCCTCAACACCCGCTGAACTAAGAATTTCAAGCTTTTCCTCTAGCGATCTTTTCGAAAGAGAAAACAGATAAAAAATAAAAATAACGATGACTTGAAGTGAAAGAGAAAGAGAGATGTACACATGGAATAACACATAAATACTTTAACGACATCATTAAATGAAATCTTGACGATAACTGGATTTGGGTATCAATTAAAACATTTTGTTTTTCACGAGACAAAAAAAAAAGTTCGGATCAAAATTAAGATCGGACTTAAAATCGATGCTTTTTAAGGAAATCGCGCCCTTCTCAAATTCAATGAGATTATAGCTTGTTTCTTTAACTTCAAAGTGATATTCTATTTAAGAAAGCCATAATGAAGGGAATCAATCAACGGTTTTGGCGGATTAAACTTCAATGCCAAGTCTAGATAAGGGTGGTCTAAAGCCTACCCTTATGTCACCAATAAAATCAGGACAGGTTTTCTGCAATTATCTGCCCTTAGGCAAGCCACCAAGACCAAATCTAGGTTTGACTATTTCCATTTCCAATGTTTGACTAAGAGAGCTGCTACTGCTAGGTCCAATAATCTTGTCCTGAGAGAGAAACGGCAAGTTTCGGCAAAATTTCCAAAATGTTTTGACTTTTGTGTCATATGAAATGTTGTGATTGGATAGATGATAAGAGGCATTGTCGTTGAGACCCCACTATTCCTTCTAGCTTAGACCCAAGGGTATGCGGCGTCGGCCGCTAAGAGATAGCTCCTGAGAAAAAAGCCCGGGCATGACGTCATTAATCAATTATTGGAAAGCTACTAATTAGGTGCGACGAGATTATGGACAAATTATCATTTGTTCAAAAATATTGTCAAGGACATCTCCTTACTTGTTGCAAAGAATATCCTTAGTCACTGGTATAAATAGACGCTGAAAAGTGATATGGAATAAGCGCATGGTTTACGCAGGTCGAGTCAATAGAGCTCAAAGCTCAAACTTGACTCGCCCGAATGTCATCATTAATTCATTATAACCTTTTGAATCGACTAGAGGTGGGCAAGGAAGGCATTAGCTAACGTGACGCAAGTTAGTTATGCCGAACTCCTTAGATTGCTTTTGTGACACAAAACAAAGTTGTACGGCGATGTCAATACTCATTTAGTAATCGTGTACAACTCTAGGACCAATTCGGGCTCGATTTTTAGAACCTGAAACCTATTTTGTAAATCCTGAACCGACAATGGAACCAAACCTGTGGTTTTAGGGTTGGTACCAGGGTCTACCGAAGAATCGGCCAATTCTTCTTTTTTTTTTTTTTTTGCTTCATTTTTGGTCAAGCAAAATGAAAACTAAAATAACAACAAAAATTTCCCTTCAAATAGATAGAGTTTCGTCGACAAGACTACTTATCCCAACATATTTATAAGTGAAGTAATCTGTCAAACCTAATAAGAGAAGTTGCACTATGTTATCATTTAGAGTAAATGAAATGGGTTGATTTAAGAGTAAACTAGAAACACGTGTAAAAAAGTAATGGTTAGTTAATTTGAGGTTTCCAAAGTGGAAGGTGGATTTCTTCTACAATGAATATACATATATGTTGCAAGTGGATTTTAATGAGTACATATCTTCCATCTGCACCAAAGCAAATTTAAAACTAATCCTAATAAAGGAAGAACTGAATAACATTAGAAATGAAATGATGTTCCGAATCCTGAAAGTTTGATATTACTAGTATGAAAATGGTGAAAAGATCCATATATACTACTAGTTTTAGGGTTCACTCAAGTTGGTTCGGTTCTCCAGTTCCTAGCCCGATTCTTCGGTTCAGTTCGGTTCCTACTCAGGAATCGAGAATCAGACCGTATAGTATTGGTTCCAAATTTTGGAACCGGGAACTAGACCAAGTAGTCTAGGAATAGGGAATCGGACCAATTTTAGGATCGGTTTGATCCGATTCAAAGTTCTACCCAAGACCATGCTCACCCTACTCATTGAGTTGGAGTTAAGGGGTGAGCAAACCAACCGGATCAAATTGGGAATTGGACCGAACCGGCCGGTTTTATGCGGTTCCGCAGAAATCGGTCCTGTTCTTGTTTCCTATAATTTGGAACCAGTGAATATCTATTCGGTTCCCGGTTCCAAAGTGCGAACCCGACCATTCGGATTAGACCGATTTTTTTTAATTCTTATTATTCCAAATTTCCAAAACCCTAATTTCCATCATTTTTCCGCTCAAACTCATGCCTCTCACTCTCACTTCTCTCAATCTTAGTTAGGGGTGAACAAAAGAACGGATCCATTCCAAGTTGGAAGCAATCCTTTGGCAATAAAACCCAGCAAAACTAGCACAACATTGTGGAAAAAAGGCAGCTAGAAGTGAAAGGCAACTTGAAATTAGACAAGAACCAATAATATCCTACAACTATTGGTTGCAGTAAATATCGGAAAGCATTCTTCTTTTGATTTTGAACACGTGCAATTTTCTCGCGCTGGTAATTAGCCGGTGCATCCATTACTGAACTTGCGTCATGCTCGCTTGGAAAAACCAGATGAATCATCATCATCCATCGTGTTTCTTTCACGGGTAGATAAGCCTTGGGCTGGGGCCCTCACCACAGAGAAGATGTTACTATTTGCAATATTGCCCGACGAATGGGGGCAATACGGCTGGTTCTTGGACTCACCCGAGAACTGGGCCGATGGCGAACCGGGCAATACGACCGATTCTTGAACCCACCCACCCGGGAACCGTACCAACCGTTGGTCTGGTTTCCGAGTGAGTCCAGAATCAGGTGGGCCGGTTCTCGATTTCATAAACTGAGAGCCGGCTTTTCTGATCCGGTTCCCAATTTCAGGGTGAGAACCGGCACACCTTGAAATCGATCACCCCTGTCGGAGTGGCTGGTGAGTAGCTTCGGAGAGACGTTAAAGCACCTCTCTTGCTCTCGGCCTGTCGCTGGGCCTGGTCAGAGCGTCTGTCTGAAAAGCCCAAGCTGATCCGTTGACTGCTCAACACTTCATTCCCGACCAAAAGATCTTCCTCCGCCGTCCCGTCGCTCCCGCCCCCCGTCTCTCTCTCTCCTTCCGCCGCGAGAGGGCCTAGAAAGACGACCCGCCTCGCCGGAAAATCCCGGGGTTCCGCGGCGGCCGGAGCTTCGTTCTCCGATCGCCCCTCCCAATCGCTCCGTCCGACGCGGCGAAGGGGGGGGGGACCTCGGTTTCCGCCCCATGCTTCTCCGTCGCGTTTAGCGCCCCGGTATCGCCCGTCCGGATAAAAGCGTCGGGAGCCATGGATTCTTCCGCCGGCGGCGGCGGCGGCGGGGCGGCGAACGAGAGCGGGAATCCGCCCGCGTTGCTCCGATTGTTCATAGCTATCCTCTTGCCTGTCGTCTTCTTCTTCTCCTCGTCGTTCTTGATCGGCGTCGTCGCTCTCCTCGTCAGTAATTTCTCGATCCCCAGCCCTATGTCGCTGCCTTCTCAGTGCAAAATCGTCGCCAGCAGTAAGTTCAGTTGAATGCTTGCGGGTCTTTCCCAGTTGAATTAGCTGAGCTAAGATGTGGATTGTTGCCGTCTTGGTTGTTTTTGCTGCTTCATCTGCTAGCTAGTGATGAGAAATGGACAAGATGTAGTATGTGATGACTCATTAGGCCAATGAAACATAGCGAGTTTCATATGCACTGGAGTGTCGTACGCTGAATTCTTGATTTTTTTTTTGCAGGTGTGGATATAAGGTCGTCTAAAGTTTGCGAGCTCGGGCTGTTGAATTATAACGCCAAGATTGTTTTCAGTTCGTCCGAGAAAAGGAAATTCCGGTGCCATTATGATTACTATTGGGCTTCAGTATTTAAGGTGATTCTATGTCCTTTGAGGAGTAATTACAAGTTTTTAGTGTGCATTTCTTGTCTGTTGCGAGGTTTAATTATCGGTGTTATCTTTCGGGGCCAAGGAGGCTCGGTTTTGCTGATTCCATCGTCGCCTTGTTTTGTCTGGAACTGCAGAATTTTCATAGTTATCTGCATGTTTTTCTCTAGCTTAATTCTTATCGTCTATACAGCTGCCTGATAAAATGTCTGTAATATGCGACATACATCTATAATGCTATAGAGTACTATTTAGGATTTACGGATCTGTGTATGTGTGTGTGTGGGTGGGTGCACGCGCGCATGAGTGCAAGAGCATGCACGCCCCCATTTGCCTATGCAGTTTCAAGCTGAGTTTTAGATTGGATAATAGTGTGCATGACCATCAGAAACTATCTTTTCATTCATTGGAGTACGCAATGAACCTTTTTCTTGCCATCGGTTATAATATGGAGGTTCAACTAATTAGGAATCAAACATGTGTTGAAGGAAGTACTTGTTATGTCATTTGCCCTATTATCATAATCAACCTTTTACTGTCTCTTTTAGATATGAATGTCAGTTAAGGAAATATAGTAATATAGTAGTTTTACTCTATGCTTATTGTCAGTTTGTCATCTATATAACAATGTCATGTGCCGATATATTTATGAATGCCATATCATTCTTTCAGTCACAGGGAAACTCTGTGAATCAGCCGGTAGTGATTCTACTAAAATACTGTTCACATTTAAGAATACTATGAGCTGTAGTGAAGCTGAAAAAGCATTTATGTGTGTGTTAGTTGATATATTGGATACAACAGAGTCTGAAGCTCTTTAGAAATGTTCATGGACGTGACTATTCTTGCTGCACTTGAGATGGTCATAAAAGTTAAAAGAATCATTCCAGATAAAAATGAAAAAAATTGAAAGTTTAACCCTTCTATGATTTGTATGAAGGTGGGAAGAGGAGAGGGGGCTGGTAAAATCTGTTTGATTAGGTTAAACCTGTCTTTGGCAAATGTCTCCTTATGTTGGATTAATCGTACCTTGTATGGATTGTTGAATCATTTAATGTTAAACCCGGTTTGCCATAATATTTCTAGTGACACTTAATTTACTAATTGCCTAGTTTGACCAATCTTACTTCTAGAAAGAGACTTGTTACCATAATGAAAATGAATCTAGTCAGCTTGATCTAAACGTATAGTCGATAAAATTGGCAAAAGTGTCCGACATAGTTCACTGGTTTGTTCCTATTTTTTCTGTCTTCTTGTTCAGACAATTACTCAGTTCAAATTTGATCCTTTTGATGTTCATTTTAAGATTGAACATACGTTGGGGTTGTGTATATCTATACTTTGGGAGTTTTGGTTTGTATAGTTTAAGAATTGACTCAGATAGCAAATTGTTGGCTCTTCTTAGCTTTAGTAAGTGCCTTGTTATGCTCCTTTCAAATCAGGCATTCCTGGGAAGTGCTGCATCTGTGTTTTTACCGTGTTTATGAACCATTAATCGATTGTGCTCCATCCATAGATAGACAGAGATTAGAGATGCTTTTATCAGGCTAAGTATCTTAGTTTAACTCAGAAGATGTAAAAGAATGGCAAGAGCAGTCATAGGAAAAGAAAGCTACCGCATTTACTGACTGCTGAATTTACATTACCGTTTTGCGCCTTCTTGCTATTGCAGGTAGAATATAAGGATCATTTATCAGGTCAGACTCGACTAGCACTTGCAGAGGCCCCAAACGAGGCCCTTCCTGCTGACTGCAGACCTGGTTTTGGTGTTGCTTGGTTGACCAAAGATACATTTAAGGTAAGAAATGCACCTTTTCAACTTTTGTGCTATCAGCTAACTTCAAACCATTATATGTAGGCTTTTGCAATCATCCTGAATATTAGGTTTGCTTTATTGGGATTGCTATGTTTCCTTTTGTATGTGTTTTTTGAATGCATAACTTTATGACTTATTCTCACACTGGTTTTAGGTGAATAATACTTATGACTGCTGGTATACATCTAGCAATTCCAAAGTAAGCATCTATCATGATGACTTCTTCAGTTGCCAAGCCAAAGATCCATCTGCAATGGAGATGATGAGGAGATACTATTTATTGTGAGTACTTGATTCCTTTTCTGGGCCTCTTTTTCTTCTTGTGCATTAGGAATGTTACAGTAAATGGGTTGGCAGTTCCTGTGCGCTGAAAATAAATACACTATTTTAGAACCGGACCCTGACTGGCTTGTGTCGTGGTCATTTAGATGGTTCTTGGTACTGCCAATTTTAATATTCTGTCATACTTTAAGTTAGGACCACATGGGAGTTTGGCTGGGTGGATGAATGTTTTGGAAGCAAGTATGCATGATCTACTGATCAGTAGTTCGAACCAATTCTAGCACTGCAGTTTGCATTTATTATCTGGGCATGTGTTGTATGTAGCATGAAATGTATGTCTCTTGTCTGTTCTGGTAGCAAAGTGGAGTGTGGTCTCTCAGCAAACTGCCAAGCAAGGGCGGCCTAAGTTGAATCAGGTCAACACAGGTCCAATCTGGTTTCAACCACTCAAGGATTGGTGGTCTGGTCCGGATATCTGCCCTTGGCCAACTAGTAGGACTGGCCAGTCCAATCCGACTTCTAAAATATTGCATTGATCACATAGTTTATAGTGGTCAGATTACCACGACTTCATTCTGTTTGGTTCAGTGTCTTTCAATAATATGAAGAATCTTAACATATCTGAAATCAGTTCAATAGTGCAGTCTTAGTCTGGTCTGTGGAACTAATTTGAAGTATACTGTTGTGCTCTGTTTGAAGTGACCAATGACTGTTTTTCATCTGAGTTGCATGCTAATCTTGATATGGTATTAAATGGTCATTAATACAGAACTCAGTCTCATGAATCATCGCGAGCCAACATTGCCATGTACCACGTACATCTAATTGTGCTGTAATTTCTTCTTTTTCTGAAGCCAAATTGCAATTGAGATTACTGTCTTATCTGCTGACAGATCAGTTGTTATTGAGCTTCTAAAATACAATATCTGATTTTTGGCTGGCATAATAGATCATATTTTCGCCATTATGTGGCCTTCCAAATGCTGCATTTTCATCTCGTTTCAAAGTTACCCTTGAATTACATTTAGCCTGTACATATTCATTTGTTGTGTCTCTTACGTACATCATGGTTTCTAAATTACTTAATGTGGCCCGTGCATCGTCAGGTTCTCAGAGATTTTCAAATCCTGGGTAGCCGGCAAGATCAGAGCTAAATATTGGAAATGGGAAACTATTGCTGGGGTGGTTGCTGGTTTTTCAACCTCCTTAATAACTATGAGTTTTATCAGACTCTTTCAACAGATGAAATCTCGGCATTGGTTGCGTCCAACCAGGATGCTTCCTTGCATGGTTAGTGCAAACCGATTGAAGCGTGCTTGTTTGTTTGTGGCATATGTATCTTTTACTGGTTGGCTTGCTTTACAATATGGAAAAAAGCTGGGCCTTCCTGTGATTTATGTTCATAGGTAATCTGGAATAGCCATTTTTTTGTCACCTTGTCATTTAGGATTCTGCTACTAATGTAATTGCAGGATCTCGTTGAATATTGTACTTAGCAGAAAAGAGAGAAACGTTTGCTTAGCAAGTAAGTGATTGGTTGTTGTGTGGAATAGCGGGATGTATGTAGTGAAGGGGAAGTTAAAGCAAGAGGCAATTCAAAATGCTGCTGTTGATCTCTTAATCATCCTGAATTTATGATGTGAGATGCGTATTGAGTATAGCTCTTATTTGTCCTAGCTGATATCATTATGTAACTAGACGAGAGGGAAAAACCAACAGAACTAGTTTAGAGTCCTTTTATTGCAGAATGTGTGGAGAGTGAAGCTGCAATTTGATTTCTAATTACAGAGTGGGCTACCAGTAGAGTTAGCATTTCACATACATAAATAGTTCACATTTCTCATTATGGTGGAAGTCTAATTTGTTTTTAAGTTTTGGCAGTGAGTATATACAACTAATAGTCTCTACAACTCAATTCATGCTGTGATTGTTGATTTTATGGTATCTCTTTCGGTTTGAGACCACATTGTTCTTATCATATAAATATGCTAATTTCTCTTTCCAAGCACAGTATAAAGGAATCGCAAGATGTTGGGGATCAAGAATTGAATAGATTCAAATTAGAAGCAATTGGACGAACTCGGAACCAACTGCAATTGGCAGTGAAATCACTAAATTTAGTAGTATAATTCCAACTTATCCTTGTCAACGAAAAATAATCAACATATGTGGATTCTCATCTTATCATATAAATATGCTAATTTGATGGGCAAGACGCCAATGTGGATTCTCATAGTGAGCCACGATGGTAATTCAAGGCTTGCTTGACAGGACTATGAGAAGCCTACAATGACTGTGACTGGAAGATGCAACTAAGGATGTGCAAGAGAATATGCCGAGCTTGCGGGACTGACATGGTCGGATAAGTGTTGGGATACGATAGGTTTTAGGTTCCAAAAAATTTCCGTGCACTCCATATATTCTGTCGAATGTAGTTAATTAGTTGTTCCTATTGGGCAATTGCAGTAGGAGTTCAACTTGGGTCCTAAGACTTTCATTTCATGCATTTACGTCCCAAAACTTGTCACAGTGATCCATTTTTGTCCTTCCATTAGCTCCGTTAGGCTTTGGTGGATGAAAAATTTACATGGCAATTCTTTTATTAACAAGCGCTTAGGATTGGAAAAATAGTAAAAAAAAAAAAGGTCGTATTGTCATTTTTTGTCCACTTCAGACTGACAAAATTAACAAAAAGACTCGAATGTATCAAGTTTTAAGACTTAAATGCCTAAAATGAAACTTTTAGGATTCAAGTTAATTATCGAGACTTGTAATAATTCATTTGCTAACTTATGTTCAATTTTTCTAGCCATCTTTGAGTTTAATGTGTTAGTTTCCGATAAAATCATGGCAGATTTTTATCTTGATAAAAACTAAAAAGTTAAAGGTAATATTCGGTACCAAAAACCCGTGTGATATCGATAGTTTCAAGTTTCAGGATGGTCCGGAGAGCCTACAAAATAAGTTATAGATTCCGAATACTTGAAACCGGTGTCTACGTAATAGGTTTTTTGCCGGTAGATGTAATCCTATCGATCTTGAAACCTGCACACTAATTAGTTATAGCTAGTTCTAGGGTTGTATGACTATTTTTGATGTCATTTGCACACATTTATTTTCCCTAACGGACGTCTTGCGATTGTTTTAACTCGGCAACTTTGTCGAAATCGCCACCGACTTGAGTGGCTTTTAAGGTTGGCTTTGATGGTTTCATCGGATTTCGAAGAGTCTTAACTCAGCCTAATTTTCTACCATCGATTTTACTTGGTCGATATGACCTGATGATTGGGGTTCCGGGGGCTCCCCAACCACTTTGGGAAGCCTAAAAGATAGAGTAAAGGAGATGATCTTTATACTTTTGTTTTGCTATTTGTAACGATAACAATTTCAAAGAAATTTTATATTTAAATATAATTCATCATTAATGGATACAATTAACTTTTTATTCTTATTTTTACGGTCAAGTTTGCAAAAAAAAAAAAAAAGTTCTTGTGAAAGAAGAATTCTCCTTCAGTATCTTGTCTCTGAATTTTGTCACATCAACACCTTTCTGCAACATTTTTTTTCAGCAGCTAAGCCTGCCAAATGTGGCGTTCATTCTTCTAAATGTTTAACGGTTAAATTCATTCTTTCTGAAATAAATCGGTGTTTAAGGATAACAATCCATCACTTTTTAATGTTTAACGATTAAATTGCAAATAATTGAGTTTCATATTTATCTTCTTGTCTCTATCATGTGTATGGGCTCCAAAATTTAGTAGCCTTCTGCAATTAGATTTTAGAAGTAGCGAATGTACGATTTAGATTCTTTCATACTGCCAAGAAGTGAAAGTGAGTGCTGCTTCGCACATAATCACAACATACATTAGAACGTGGATTGCTAATATAAATGTTGCATTATATGATGATATAATATGATTTTCTAGGAAAAACAGTCAGAACGATAAAGTAATGAACAAGAATATAGCCTTAGTTCAACATGAAGCAAACATAGATTAGAATCTTATAAATTTATAATTATTTTAAGTAATTATAGCATACAACGGCGATGTAATTTTTTTTACACAAGCAGCATTACACACCATTGATCGGAGAGAGTTGATCCTTTAAATCAAAGTTGGATGAAAATACTTATGCGAAATTTAATTTACACATTGACAGTATATGCTCTAATTTTTCCAATGTTTAATACAAACTAGATACATGATAATTAAATTACTAATTGGTGTCATGTAAGTATCCAATTGCAAGCACAACTCCTTACTGTTCAACGCCTTCTCGATGTTTTCCATCTTTTTGCCATTATCTTGGAGTAGTACACGAACCACCTACTCTTCTCATCAATGATACATGATAATTAAATCACTAATCGGTGTCATGTAAGTATCTAATTGCAAGCACAACTCCTTACTGTTCAACGCCTTCTCGATGTTTTCCATCTTTTTGCCATTATCTTGGAGTAGTACACGAACCACCTACTCTTCTCATCAATGATCAAATTCCCTAGCACAACGCCAATCAAAAAGCCAACTCCCGAGCCAATTAGCACAACTTTCCAATCCAAGTCGAACAGAGACTCTTCGCCATTTTCTTCTTCGAGCGGTGATGGTGGCAATGGTATGTTATCCCCAACCTTTGAGCATTTTTTTTGGCAAAGGACTTCCACATAATCCCTCATTCATGGCAAATGATCCAATCCCGAATGTGTTGAACTGACTCCCTTGTGGTATTGGTCCAGACAATTGATTATGAGAGGCATCAAAAGATGAAAGAAATGTAAGCTAGGCTAGCTGTTGAGGGATCTCTCCTTAGAGCTTGTTTCGAGAAAGATCTAGAGATTCAAGCACTGTCAAATTTGCTAAGGAAGGCGGGATCAAACCGGTGAGAATGTTGTTTGAAAGGTTAAGCAAAACAAGTGACTTCAAATCTCCAATGAAATCAGGTATGCATCCTTCAAATTTGTTATTGGAGAGGTCAATTTCCTTAAGGGCATACAGAACCTTCGAATATTCCCTCTCTGTGCCTTTTAACATCAATTTCATTTCATAATCCACAACTTTTTTATATGTATCCAAAGACAGACCGAGCCCTTGAGAAGTATTCATATATTCCAATTGGTCTTGACCAACAATCACTTTCATGGCATGGAAACTGTGCAACAACTTGGAAGGTAGTTCACCATTGAAACCATTGTTGGAAATGTCCATGATATGCAAATTGCTAAAGTTTTTTTTTTGGTCATATAAAATTGCTAAAGTTAAATAGGCTTCGATATGCTTCTATTGGACCATGGAACTTATTGGATTTCAAGATGATAGCCATGAAGGGAACCCATCATGAATTTGATTGTAACCAAGGTTCAAATACTCTAGCATTGGACAATTCACCAAAGATCTTGGGACAGGCCCTTGCAATCGATTATTTGTGAGGTCAATAATCGTCAATGCACGACCTTTTGGGTAAGCATGAGGAATCATGCCCTCAAACTTATTTCTCCCAAGATTCAAAATTGTCAGAGAATCGATATTTCCCAGACAGGAAGGAATTGTGCCATTCAGACTATTGATGGACAAATCAAGAATGACTAGAGATCTTCCTCTACAAATAGATTGGATGTCTCCGAAGAGGAAATTGTTGGAGATATTGTAATAAAAAGCTAATGGAGGTGGACTCGGGAGTGCTGTTTTGAGCAAGTTAGAACTAAGGTCAAGATAGGTCAACACGGGTAGTGACAGATTGATATGGTTGTTCAAAAAGCTAGTGAGAAAATTGTGAGAAAGATCCGTGTACGTCAACTGGGGTAATGTCAGGTTGATGCAGCTGTTCCCAAAGCTAGTTAGAAAATTGTGAGAAAGAGACAAATTCATCAATGTTTCTTTGCTCCCGTTCCACGTCCATGTAGGAATACTCCCTCCGATTTTATTGTTTGACAGATCTACCGCCTCCAATCCATTTAGGTAGCCTAAAAACCTTGGGAACTCATGTAAGTTGCATGAAACTAAACTTAAGGTGGAAAGATTTGGAAGAGTGGCATTGATCTCGGTCTTGCTGACAAAAGATATGTGGTTGAAGTCCAAAAGTACTGTTCTCAAGTTCTTGAGTTTGTGTAAATCCACGGTGCCACTCAAATTATTCTGTTGAAGTGCCAAATATTCAAGATCCTTGAGTTCCCATAAGAAGTTTGCAATTTCACCTTGCCAATTGTTCAATGAAAGGTCAAGCACAACCAACCTCGTTAGGTTCTCAAATGAAGATGATGGAATTGGACCACTTAGCTGATTCTTTGCCAAATGTAAAGAGACAAAACTTGTTAGTTTGGCTGCTGATTTAAACTTGTCATTTCCTTTTCTTTTTTTTTTTTGAAAAAAAACCTTGCTAGCTGAATATTACCCGAAAGGGCCAAATAGGTGAGTTTTGCCAAGTTGACAAGCCAATTTGAAATATCACCTGTGAAATTATTGATAGAGAGATCTAGATATGATAGCTGTGTAAGGTTAGCGAAGGAGGTGGGGATTTGACCCAGAAATTTACTTCCTTTGATATCTAGATAAGCAAGTTGAGAAAGGTTACCCAGTGAAGAGGGAAGTGAACCCGAGAAAATCGTGCCCCCAAGAGACGATG